GGTTTTGGCTTTAGGACTTCTTGTAGAATTATTTGGAGTGGGGGGTTTAGTTGTAATGACTTTCGGGAGTTTCTGTTTGTCTGAGAAGGTCCATATTTTTTCTTTATATAGGAAGGAGAGCTTTGCAGGGTAAAGTATTTTTGGTTGGCATTTGCTGTCTTGAAGTTTGCTGAATATGTTATTCCATCCTCTTCTTGCCCATAATATTTTTCAGAGAAGTCTAAAGTTAACCTGATTGGTTTTCCCTTATAAGTTATCTGATTTTTCCCCCTTGCCAGTTTCATTATTTTTGGCTTGTCTTGGACTCTTGCAAGCTTTACTATTAGGTGTCTTGCTGTAGTTTTCATTGTGGTAATTGAGAGTTCTTCTCACTTCTTGTATGTTTATACTCATCTCCTTTTTCATTCTTGGGAAGTTTTCTTCAATTATCTTCTTGAATAATTTCTCAGTTCCTTTGTCTTTCTCTTCACCTTCCGGAATGCATATGACTCTTACATTTCCTCTCTTCATGGAGCCTGATAATTGTCTAAGAGTCTCCTCATACTGCTTCATTTGCACTTCTCTCTCCTTTTCTCTTTTCGCTTTTTTTTATTTCTGTATCTTCAATGCCACTGATCTGTTCTTCCATTTCATTGATTCCATTTTCATTGCTTTCCCCAGAGTTATTTAGCTCCTCTAGTAATCTCTTCATCTCCTGCATTTCTTTTCTTTCCTTTCTTAATATCTCAATTTCATTCTTAAGTTCAGTGATTATTTTTCTCAAATCATTTTTTTTTCTTTTTGTTTTCTTTCTGCTTTTTAATCATGATGATCATTAATTCTCTATCTCATAGGCTGAGTTCTTCCATGTCATTGTTGAGTGTGGTGTGTTCTCCTGCGGGCTTACTTGGTTATTTATATGTTTTCTTCTCCCTGTTGTTTGCTTTCTAATTAGTTCTATGCATTGGGACATTGTGCCACTGGTGTTGGCAGGCGTCGCTCTGGAATGCTCCTTTAGGGTTGCTGGAAACTGTTTACCAGACTGAGACCAGCATTGGTAGGCCAAAACTCCACCAGGGTATTGATGCTGTGTTGCTGGGCTCTGTCCCTTACAGTTCCCTCTGTCTGTATTTACTGTTCCAACAAGGAATAAACTAGTTGGTGATTTTGTTCTGGTCAGGAGATGGCGCCAGAGATCTGTACTTGCTTACCTGTGCTTTTTCCCAGTGGTTCTCTGAGAAATGGGGGGAGGGGGGTTACCAGGGTGAGCACCTCAACACAGGGTCTCTTATTCAAGCTGGGTGCTGTGTCTGCTCTGTGTTCACCCGGTGCTGTGCCCACAGGTGTATGGATTCCAATCCCTGACTTCTGCACTCTAGGTCTCAGTTGCAGGGCTATCAGATCCAAAATGCTGACTGTCACCCTGTGCAGTGCCTGCTGTTATGGCACATCCCATGCCCCGGATCCTGCGGATGGCTCTCAGTTTTAGGATGGGATCTTGCTCTACCTCTTATTTCCCTCCTCACCCCGGTTTGTGCTGCCCATCCTCTCTTGAAGCCTGGGGGTGTTTTTGGGATCCCTGGTTTCCAACTCTCAGAATGTTGGTGATTTTTTTTCTGGTTACTAGGTGGCGCCAGAGATCTTTTCTAGTGTCCTTCCAGAACTGTCTTTCTCCCCCATGGGCCCAGGGGAACAGGAGTGAGAGTGGTGTGGAGAGCCTCAAAGGCATGGGGGTGCAGGGTCTGACCTGTGCCCCACTGTCGTGGAGATTCTGCACCCCGAATTTTGTGCCCTCAGTTCCAAAGCCCTCAGATCCAGGATGCGGGCTGTGGCCCAGTTTAGTATCCACAGATATGGCGCCTTTTGCACCCTGCTCCCATGTCCAGGCGCTTGGTTTCTGATTACTCGGTGAGGGACATTCACCTCAATGAGGGCTCCAGCGCATCTCCCCATAGGCATGGGGACCTGGGCAGCTGGGATCCGCATTCTGCATATTCTTTTCAAGTGCACTGCTTTTCAGCACAAGCTTATGGGCTGGTCTTGGGCAATTTATAGGTCTCCACTGAGTCCTTATCTTCCTCTAATGGCGCAAGAGCCATTCACTCACCTCCGCAGTGATTCCTGCCCTGTTTTCCACAGTTCCAGTTCACAGGGTGCCGTGCCTGAAATAGTTCCTTTCCACTCACAGTCCCGCTTGATGTGTAGTTTGTTCTTGTTGGTTGTTTTTCCTTGTTTGTTTGTTTTCCTCCTTTCTGTTGGTCGGAGAGTGCTGACTTTGTTGGGTGGGGGAGGGTAGCCAGGTTCTGAGCTTTCCTCCCTTCTTGTCCTCTTATGACAACTTTCTTCTTCATGCAGTTTGCCAATCACAGTTTATCTTCCGCTTCCCAGTTCTCACAGGGACCAGCCATTTTTCCTCCCTATTAACTTTTTTTTTTTTTTTAATGGGAGGACTTACTCGCAGCATTTCCCCTCTGCCATGTTGATCTCACTCTGATGCATTCTTTGACATTGTGCTGACAATGCACGGATGAGATGAATGGTGAGTAGGGGGTGACTTTTCCTCCTGGTGGGAAGATGAGCTCATAACTATTGCCTTAAGAAACCTGAGGAGGAGTCCTCTGCTAGAGCAAGGAAGGAGGGGAGTGTACAAACAGACCCATTGGGAAGGAATGTGTGACATTATGGAAAGAAGGGTCCTGACACTAGCCCGCCCCTTTCCTGCTATCAGCATCAGCATTTATTTTCTTCTGTTTTCACAACGAACTTTGTGCTGAATGGTTCTCTAAAGGGCATCTTTTAATTTTAAATGCAGTGTTTCACAAACAGGCCCCATGGGTTTCCAAACCAAAAAGGAGGTCAGGCTCCTGCCATAGAAGCTTTGATCTTCATATAGCTCCTCATTTCTTCATCTTCAGTTACCTTCAGTGTAATAATGTGTGTTCAAAAAGCTATATCCAATGACACTTAAAACCCACTGAGATGTCCCATGTCTAGCTTAAAGTAGCTCTCACCTTAGGAGATTCTTACACTGCAGATTAAATATCACACCACATAGTCTGTCGAGGTCCATGCCTCCTGATTGTGAATAAGCATAGGAGGGTCCTTCCCTTTGGATTTTGCCGTTTTGTCTTTAGGCCAGATGGTCTGAGGTATTTAGGGAATAAAACAGGTTACGGTGGCAGTAGATAAAATAATTTCATCTCTTACTCATAGACACTGTCTCTGTAAGAAGTGGCAATAGTCTGTGCAGGCCCGAGGCTGGAGATGGCCAAGAAAATAGGTGATGGGGAGAGAGTAAGCTTTGAGGATGATATAAGGGAGGTCGACTACTTCTGCTCTTTTTAAAAGACACATGTAGAGTTATTGTCTCTATTCTTCTGAACAGATAATTTAGGTACTTCAAAACTTTGTTCAGAATGTGCATACAATGACTTCCCAGCAGAGCTGAACCTGGAATCACCATAGTAATCTACAGGGAAATGTGTCTTTTATTTTTTAAATAAATTGTATTCTTATATTCCCCATACAATTGCAACCCCCTTATTTTGACCCCAATCCCTCCCCTCCCTGCCCCCCAACCCCCATAGAGTGTCTCTCATTCATAGTTTTTTATTGATTTTGATTTTTGCTTTCTTATAGTTATTCATTTTCCTGGTCCCTTATTTAAGTTTTCTAGATTCTTGCTATGAGTGAGGCCATCCGGTATTTTTCTTTTTCTTTCCAGCTTATTTCGCTGAGCATGATCCCTTCCAGCGCCATTCATGTTGCTGCAAATTGCATGTGTTTATCTTTTTTGAATGCTGAGTAATATTCCATGGTGTATATGTACCACATCTTCTTGATCCAGTCATCTATTTTTGGGCATTTGGGTTGTTTCCAAAGCTTAGCTATTGTAAACAGTGCTGCTATAAACATAGGGGTGCAGGTGCTCTTTGGAATTGATGTTTCTGTGCCTTTGGGTAAATACCTAGGAGTGGGAATGCTGGATCATATGGAAGCTCTATCTTTAGTAGGTTAAGGAATCTCCTCACAGCTTTCCATAGTGTTTGGACCAGTTTACACTCCCAAAAGCAGTGCAGGAGAGTTCCTTTATTTCCACATCCTCGCCAACTTTTGTTGTTGCTAGCTTTTTTAATATGTGCCATCTCACTGGTTTGAGATGGTATTTTATTGTAGTTTTGATTTGCATTTCCCTGATTGCAAGTGACATTGAACATTTTTTTCATATATCTGGTTACATCCAATTTTTATAGTTTAAAATAAAGATGACAACAGTTCCTAATTTAGTAAAAATATTTTAATGTAGGACTAATTAATTTTTCTAGGGATATTATAAAGAACAGCTTGGGATGAGATTTCCAAATCAAGGAAACATGCATTTGTTTTCAGTTTATCAACTGTGCTTAACAGAGCATTTTTACCAGACTGGGTAGGGGCAGTCAAGAATTCTATCATTGGCCTCTGATTTGTTAGTGGATATTCCAACAAATCTTCAAAAAATAGTTAAGAATACTGGAATAAAAACTAGGCCATGAATAGCCCCCAATACCATGACAAGAAACATAATCTTAAAACATGTCCTGAAGATGTATGTGTTAGCTGCAGATAAAACAGACACTCCTATTATTGTTGACAGTGCACTTTGTAACACTGCGTAACCTAGCAAAAACAATGCCTCAATTGCTTTTTGGTTTGCTGAGGGTTTAGAACTGGAAACAAATGCATATGAAATATGTGCACAAAAATCAAAAGAAAACCCTATACAAATCACAAGATTCATCATGGATACGGAATCAAGGTTGATATGCCAGAATCCCATGAAACCTGTTATTCCTACAATCACAGAGCCAATAGAAAAAGTGACCCACAAGGAACACAATGGGTGGGGAATTAACAATAAAGAAACAATGAACATAGCTGTGGTTGCAACAATGACACTTCGAATAGTGTTTTCTAAGATTGCAGAATATTGATCAAAATAGATAAAAGCTGGGTTATACACCATTAGGGGAATCTCACACCTTTTGGCAATACTTCGTAATTGGAATAACATGTTCTTCTTACTGTGCGAAGAAGAAACACCCGTGGTCTGAATGAAGGCCCGGGAAGAAGTAATCTCATGTGATGATGAAATATTAATATCATATGTAAAAATTGGAATATGCACTAAAAAACCAGGAATGTTGTTTATAAAACTATCTTTGTCATTTTCAGCTAAGTTGTTGGCTTCCATATACTGTATATATGCTTGTAACCAAAACTGAGTTAGATTTTGAATGACATAATCACTGTTTTCAAAAGCGGTCAGACATTTCCCCAATGTTTGCCTAGTGTCTTTATCCCAGTAGTCAACTGCTTCAGTCATGATAACCATCACTATGGGACCATAATCTGAAAAATGCTCTTCATGGATGTTAAAATAGGGTGTGATATAGGAATCGTCACTTGCCAGATGTCGAAGGTCTAAACCTTCCTGCATTTGGAAACAGCCATATATACTGAATGTGATGTACAGAAGGTATAAAACCACTATCACAAACTTGGACTTAGTGTTTGTGAGAAAGGGGCCAAAATAATCTCTAAAGAACAAGTTCATTGGATGGATGCTCGATTCTTCATCAGTTCGAAGAGAACTAAATGGGAGGCAGCAGCATCTTATCAGCGAGGAAGAATTTTGGTCCGGGTTACCCTCTGAGCTTTGCAGCCTGCGCTGACAGGCCGCTTCTCTCCTACCATCTAGGGCCATAGAGGCGCCAAAACAGGTGATGTTATAAAAATAACAGAAGAGCAAGGTTGTTCCCGTGTAAATGCAAAAGTACTGCACGGACTTAAAGGAGGTCATCACCCCTGTAAAGAAGGCCAGGACATTTGTGAGAGTGGTGATGGTGATGGACACCGCCACGTGGGAGTAGACGTCAGACATTCGCTGTTGTACGCTGTCCATGACGTTGTTCTTCTGCTAGGCAGAAATCATGATAAACATATCATCAACGCCAACACCTGTTAAGAAAAATCTTAATGCATATTCATATCCATAAAAGTGTAAATAGCATAATTCAAAAGGTTTCCCCCTTTTTCTCCTTTGAATGAAGCAACATTGTTTTACATCCTTGTTGAGTTTTTGACAGTCTAGGATTTCTCCCCTCAGGTGTGGCCACCTTCACTCTCCCAGCACCAATGCACCCGTGGTCCTCCACCAGAGTCCTTGTGCTCTCCTCCCTGTCCCTCTTGCCACGCTCCCCCTCCTCCCTCTGCTTCCTGGCTGTCTCAGCTCTAGGTCAGCTTTCCAGTGTTGCTTTGAAAGATCGTCTTTGTCTGACCCTTTGTCTAGTTTCCCTATATTCCACATCTAAGTGAAATGATCCTTTGTCCCTTAAGGTCTTATTCTTTGGTCCTTCAGGTTTTATTAATCTCGCAGAATCTGTGCTTAGGTAACACTCTCCTTGGTTGTCTCTGAGTCCACAGCAGAGCACACTACTCTCTCTGTAATAAGCTTGTCCTTTGCACGGATTCCTATTATTTCCACACAGCACAGTATACTCCTCTTCTCCATTTGTGGTGCCTCAGTGTTGAGATCAGGAAACCTGGTGGATGTGTTAGTTCAAGCAGGATTAGCAATCTGTTTCTGATTCCACTAGATTACTTGAGAGACCATTTTCTCTCATAAGCCATTTCACAGAAATGCATAAACTCTTTCAGCCAACATTCTGTTACTGAACCTATCTGACCACCAACAGCATCAGTCTATATTTGCAGTATGACTTGTGAGGCACAGCGTCATTTACATGCACACTCACGCTAGTTTTCCTGATAGTCTGTTTTTGATATCCAGATAATGTCATTCGAACTTCCCAAGCTGAATCTAGCAAGATGGCCTCACCTTCTCCAGATACCCCACAACTAGATTGCAATAGAGCAAGGCCCAAAACCCCTGAAGGAAAAACAGACCTCCACAGCATATCTGAGGAGCAGCAGTCCCAAGGGAGGGAAAACATGAAGCAAACTCTGTGTAGTGAGATTGGGGCAGCAAAACTCGTGGCTGGTGGGCACATGCTATGCAACAACCCCTACAGTTGGGCCTCCCTGGTGGTGCAAGGGGATGAGACGCAGCCTGTGAAGCAATCCGCAGACTCTGCAGCACGAGTTTGATGCCCTGGCTGGCCAGGGAGCAACCCACATGGCGAGCAGACTTCTCCTGACTCACTCGCTGCTCCCCTCAGCAGTGTATTTCAGTCAGTCTGCCTGTGTATTTCAGTCAGTGAGAATCCTCTCATGCCCCCTCTCCTCTGGCCTCTACTCTAGCTCTTGTATGCATAAATAAATAAATCTTAAAAAAAAGAAACCCCTACAGTTGTGGGTTTGACACACAGCAATACCAGGGACTCCTGACACCTGGCAATGCACTGAATAAGGGAGTCAGCAAGTTGACAGCCAGGAACTGGAAAGCTTTGGGGTGGTAGTTCAGCATGAGCATTACTGGCTTGAGTGGAGGCTCACAGTATAGAACAGCTGGATCCTGACCTCTCAACAGGGAGAGCTGAGTCAGGTCACATGCGTCTCCCCATAGGAAAGGCTACTACTCGAGACTGGGATATTCAGAGAAATCGCCACCCCAACATGTGGCTAAAGCCAAAACAACAAAGGAATCCTGGTAAACTAGAGCTCAGTGCCTGCTAATGACAGGCACTCACACCCCAGGATAAGGCTTTGAGTGTCAAAAGAGAAGAGAACTCCCTGCCTGTGAGCCCATGTCAGCTGCAATCTGTGCCCCGTGCTCAAGCTCAAGCTCAAGCATTCAAGAAAAGCTTAGCGTGAGCATGAAGCCATGAAGGACATTAAGGCTGAGAAGTGGGCAAAGAAGTGGGGAGCACTTCCCAGCACCACCTCTGGTATCCACAGCACAGTAGGAAGCTTGAATTCCTGGCATTCATTGGGGTGATTCTTTGGTGCCCCACTGCCTTGGCACTCACTGTACCTTCTGCCCCTCATAAGCACCAGTTCTCTCGTTACTTCAACAGGGGAAAAGACAACGATTTGAAAGTCTGTCCCTACTACAACCCATCAAAATTAAAAACGAGGGGACAGACGAACAGATCACAAATGTTGGAGGGAAAAACGGAAGATGGGAGCCCCATTCCAGCAAAACTGCAGCACATGACTGACATAGATTTAGGGCAAAAGTTCTAACAAAGCCATGGAACTCCAATAACAGAGAACATGAGCCAGCACGAGAATACAAACAAAGCAATATGAGGTGTCTACAGTTAGAAATCACAGAAGTCTGAAACACTATAACTGAATGAAAAACATTCATTGAGGGCCTCAGTAGCAGACAAACAGAAGCAATGGAAAGAATCGATGAGCTCGAGAAACACCATGTTGGCGAACACACGATAGAGCAATGCAGGAAAAAAGGAATTTGAAAAAGGATATCATGTTTTCCTTTTGGGAAAACAGAGAGAAATCACATCCATCTCATATGGGTCCTAGAAGTAACAAAAATAAAGGCATAGAAAGTTCACTTAAAAAACAATGTCAAAGGGGCAAAATGGCAGCAGAGTAAAGATGCTGGGCTCACCCTCTCCATGTGTTCAAACTAGATTGCAACAGAACAAGGCCAATGACTCCTGAAGGAAAAACAGACAATTACAGCACAAGTAAAGTGCCCATCCAGAGGAGGGAGACCCCAGCAAGCAGTGGAACAGGCCAAGCAGGTAGCCTGCCTAGGCAGTGAGGTGAGCCCCAGTGGCCTGGCAGAACTGGCAATGTGCTTACACAGAAACATTTGGCAGACCTCAGCAAGCCTCCAGACTGGGTCCTGAAGCAGACCCACCACCCAGGCCCACAGACAGTGGTGCAGATCTGTGAGCTCAGCAGTGGCTCATGGAAGCAGCCCCATTGACAGCAGGCCTTGGCAGTTCTCAGTGAGCCAGGGCAGGACTGGAAGCAGACCAGCCACAGCAGGCATTGGTGCAGACATCAGTGATCTCTAGTGGGGGGGGTGGGAGGCAGTCCTGGAAGTAGCCCTTGGCAGACCTCAGGGCCTGGAAGCAAATCCACCAAGGTAGGTCCCCTGATGAAGTTGACCTATGCACAGAAGTTGACCTAAGATGCACAGTAAGGAAACTAGAAAGAGTTCAAGGTAAAGACAGAACGAAGAAGGCAGTCAGGCAGAAAAAAGCAGATAACCTATAAAAGTACCCTCCTCAGGCTTACGTCTGAATTCTCTGAGGAAATTCAACAAGTGAGGAGAGAATGGAATAATGTATTCGAAACACTCAAAGATCAAAACTGCCAGCAAAGAATATATATCCTGCAAGACTCTCGTTCAGATGTGAGGGAGAAAATAAGGACTTCCCAGACAAATGAAAGCAGGAGTTTGCTATCACTAGACTTCCTCCTCAAGAAATACTGAAAAGAGGGGCCTCCCCGGTGGCGCAGCGGTTGAGCGCTGGGTTGCGAAGCTGCCCGCAGCCTCTGCGGCGCCGGTTCGATCCCCGGCTGCTCCCTGGCCACCGGAGGAGGGTCCCACATGGCGCGCAGACCTCTCTGCCGCCCGCTGCTCCCCTCAGCAGTGTACTTCGGTCCTTCTGCCTGCTCTGCTCTCCGCTCTGGCTCTGGTGAATTCTCTCACCCTCCCGAGCTTCTGACTGTACCCAGTGCATGTATAAACAAAAACAAAGAAAGAAAGAAAGAAAGAAAACATGCCTCTATATAAAAAAAAAAAAAAAAAAATAAAAAAAAAAAAAAAAAAAGAAATACTGAAAAGAGAACTCCTATCTGAATTTCACATGAGAAAAGTCACAAGAAACTAAACTATAGAAGAGAAAACTAAAGACAAAATTACAGTAGCTAATACCTTTATATCAATAATCACTTTAAGTGTGAATGGAATGAACTTGTCAAGCAAAAGGCACAGAAATGATGGTTGGATCTGAAAACAAATCCAACTTCTTGTTGTCTCCAGGAGACCTATGTGAGTTCAGAAGATAAACAGATTCAAAGCAAATAGCTGGGAAAAAATCCTGCAAGTGAATGGGACCCTCAAAAAGGCAGAGACAGACATATTTCATCATCAGACAAAGAAAAACCCTTGCAGTTAAAAAGGGGACCAAGAGGCAGAATGGTCATTGCATAGTGATTAATGGAGCAACACATCAGGAAAGGATCAATATTCCATCAGCATACATGCAGCAAACAAAGGTGCACCCAAATATATAAGACAACTATTTGACAAACCTAAAAACAGACATTGACCACAACACAATGATGGTAGAAGACTTTGACACCCCACTTACATCAAAGACAGATCAACCAGAGGGAAAATCGACAAGGAAACAATAGCCTTAAGTGAGCAATAGACCGCTTGAGCCCACCAGACATTTACGGAGAACGACACTCCCCAAAAGCTGAGCACACATTCTTCTGAAGGTCACATGGAACATTTTCCACAGTGGATCACATTTTGGATCATAAAACAAGTGTGAATAAATTCATGAAGTTTGAAATCATTGTCAGGCACCTTTTCTGATCACAATGGTATCAAATAGAAATCAAGCACAAAACGAAGGTGGGAAAAACCCTGAGTAGGTGGTGACTATAAAGCACCACACTCATGACTATTGGGTTAATGAGGAAATCAAAGAAGAAATTTAAAAAACACCTGGAGACAATGGAAAATGAAGACACAACCTATCAGAACCTCTGGCCAGGATCAAGAACAGTTCCAAAAGGGAAGAACACGGCAACACAGGCACACATCAAGAAATAAGAAAGAACTCAAATAAATAAGAAAGAACTCAAATAAATATGCTAACATTACCTGAAAGAATTAGCAAAAAAGCTAGTTGAAGGTAGGAAATAATAAAAATCACAGTGGAAATAAATGACATAGGATTTAAAATGACAGTTTAAAAAAGTCATTGAGGGCCTCCCTGGTGGTGCAAGGGTAAGACACAACCTATGAAGTTATCTGCAGCCACTGGGCCATGGGTTCAATCCTTGACCAGGGAGCTGCGCACATTTTGCAGCAGATATCTCCTGACTTGCCTGCTGTTCCCCTCAGCAGTGTATTTCAGTCATTTTGCCTGTTCTGTTCCCCGCTCTTTCTCTGGTGAATCCTCTCATCCCCTCATACCTCTGGCCTGTACTCCCCACCTTGTATGCATAAATAAATAAATGTTAAAAAAAGTCTTTTAATTTAAAAAATCAATGAAATGAGTAGCTGGAACTTAGGGAAAAAATAAGATAGAAAACTTCTAGCTAGACTCAGTAAGAAAAAAACTCTTAGTATAAGGGGGTAGAAGGAACATATCTCCACAAATAAAAGGCATCTATACCACACCCACAGGTAACATACTCAGGGAGAGAATAGGATAAGATTTCAGATACACAACAATGATGTGCACTATCACCACCTATGTTCAACATAGTATTGGAGGTACTAGAGCTATTAGGCAAGAGAGGGATATAAAAGGAACCCAAACTGGAAACAAGTCAAACTATCACTATTTATAGATGACATGATAATACATATAGAAAAACCTAAACACTACATTTTACAAAATATTCGAACAATCAGGGAAGTGAGAGACTGCAAAATCAACATGCAAAATTCTGTTGAATTCCTGTATGCAAATAATGAACTAGAAGAGAAAGCCCTCAGGAAAACAATCTCATTTACAATAACATCAAAAAGTATTAAATACCTAGAAATAAACCTAACAAAAGAGGTGAATGATCTAAGAAGAGGTGGCAAATATACACAATGGAATATTACTCAGCAATCAAAATAGATAAACTCATGCCATTTGCAGCGACATGGATGGATCTAGAAGGAATTAGCTCAGTGAAATGAGCCAGAAGGAAAAAGAAAAATATCGGATAGTTTCACTTAAAGCAGGAATATAGGGGAACCCAATAAGACATCAGCATAAAAAAATAATAACAGCACAAAACACAACACAATAAAGACAATATTATAAATCAGAGACATCCTGCAGGGGAGGAGGAAGGAGAGGGATCAGAGGGAGGGAGGAGCACTGGGGACTGAGGTGATGGTGCACGAGTGCATTGGGGAAGGAAACTCTATGGGGACTGCACATGAGGGGCTGGGGGGAAGCAAATATTGTTCAAAAATGAGCAATGATGTAAAAAATTAAAAAATAAGAAATAAAAGTAAAAAAAATTAAGAGGTGAATGATCAATTCAATGAAAATGATAAGGTATTGCTAAAAGTAATAGAAGAAGATGCAAGAAAATAGAAAGATATTCCCCGCTCATGGATTGGAAGAATTAATATTGTTAACATGTACACCTTCTCCAAAGTAAGACAGATAGAGATGAAATGGAATTCCTATCAAAGTTCTAATGGAATTTTTCAAAGAAATAGAGCAAATTTAATTGAAATTTATATAGAGCCAGAAAAGACCCCAAATAGTCAAAGCGATATTGACCAAAAAACGTATTGGAATTAAAACAGACACACAGACCAATGGTATAGAAATGACAGCCCAGAAATAAACCCATAATTTTATGGACAGTTAATGTACAAAACAGGAGTCAAGAGTACACAATGGAAAAACGAAGTTCTCTTCAACAAACGGTACTGCAAAACTGGGTAGCCACAAGTAGAAAAAAGAACTAGACCACTCTCTCCTACCATACACAAAAAATAACTCAAAGTGGATTAAAGGTTTGGATGTAAGATCTGCAGTCATATAATACATAAAAGGAACCAGGCAAAATACGCCATAATATTGGCTTCATGGTTGTCTTTGGGGATTTGACTCCAACTTCAAGAAGACAAAAGCAAAAATAAACAAATGATACTACACAAGCTAAAAGGCTTCTGCCCAGCGAAAGGAAGTCTCATCAAAATGAAATGACACCCTACTGAATGGGAGAATACATTTGCACATCACACACCTGCCAAGTAGCTAATATCTAAGATCTACAAAGGACTCAGACAACTCAACCAAATGAAAACAAGCCAATCAAAAATGCACAGGAGAGCTAAATAGACACTTCTCCAAAGACGACACACAGATGGCCAGCAGGCACATGAAGAAAATGTTCAACATCACATATCATCATGGAAAGGCAAATCAAAAGCAGAAGGATATGTGCCTCCCCGGTGGCGCAGCGGTTGAGCGCTGGGTTGCAAAGCTGCCCGCAGCCTCTGTAGCGCCAGCTCGATCCCTGGCTGCTCCCCGGCCACCGGAGGAGGGTCCCACATGGCGCGCAGACCTCTCCTGCCGCCCGCTGCCCCCCTCAGCAGTGCACTTCGGTCCGTCTGCCTGCTCTGCTTCCTGCTCTGGCTCTGGTGAATTCTCTCACCCTCCCGCGCTTCTGACTGTACCCAGTGCTTGTATAAATAAAGAAATCTTAAAAAAAAAAAAGCAGAGGGATGTACCACCTCACTCCAGTGAGATTGGTCTACATGTGTATCTAACAGAAACCACAGAGGTTGGTTAGGATAAGGAGAAAAAAGAACCCTAGTACTTTCTTGGTGGGAATATAAAGGTTTCCTAGGTTTGAATTCACCAATCTCATGTGGATATGGTAGATTGCTTTTAATTATTTTTTCAATTCTCAATCACACTGAAATGAACATACTTACTCTACTTTTTGGAGTGTTTTTTTCAATTATTAGGACAAATTCCTAGAAGTAGAATGGAGAGGTGAAAGACATGCACCTTGAATCCCCTTGTAAGCCTTTTGATTTGATAGAAAAATTGGACTAAGTATGAGCCAATTCATAATCTTCTCCTAGCAGCAGATGACAGTGTTCATTACATACAACCACCCCAAAAGCTTCAGTCTCGCAATATTTATTATTCTAATAAGAAGACAAGGCATCTAAGTTTTGGTTTAATTTGCATCCCTTGATTGAGAGGTCATATATTTTCCCCCTTACATTTTCAGTGTATTGTATTTTCCCTTTTCAGGGATCTGTGTGTGTGTGTGTGTGTGTGTGTGTGTGTGTGTGAGAGAGAGAGAGAGAGAGAGAGAGAGAGAGAGAGAGAGACAACTGCCTGCTCATGTCATTCTCTTTACTTTTCCATTTGGGGTCCTTAATTTTTCCAGTTCTGAAGACACAATTTAATGTTTATCTTAATTTCTGACACCATATTTTGGATCTGTAGTCATCTAAGCACAGTTCTTTTACTTAATCTATCATAAACTCTTTCTGTTATCTACTTTCTCCCAAACACACACATAGTGTAGCCTCACATTTGCTTTACTCACCTAGTATTAGAAATGGTGCATTTGCAACTATTGTCACAAATGGCACCCCCACATACAACATGAGGCCAAAGCCACTCACCACTGCCAAGGCAACAGAAATCACTCCAACGACTGCAATAAACATTTTGTTTCGTATACAGCTAAACCTGTAAATAGGGAGGGGAAAATGATGAATTTTTGGCAGCAGCTTCCATACTCAAATTCCATCAATTCATGACATTCTTGATTAGGACCTGTTCTGAAATCTCTTCTGCAACCATTCTACACCTGTCTCCTGGAGACCTTTAATTCCCATGCACTATCCCAGACCCACTACACCAATTCAAAGAGGGAAAATAAAAGTTGGCATTTTGTGCTTTAACTTAACTATCGTCTTATGCAGCAGGCCAAGCACTAATTCCCTGATGGTGTTTCAGAACCACATACATGTACTGGAGCACAGCAGATGGTTAATTCCACTCTAGTGTTCAAGGAGTTGTGTGTGAATGGAACACAACACTAAAGGGCACACAGCTGTAGTTGAGAAAGTACCCACATCCAATTATCTTTGCACTCATTTCCTGATTCCAACTAGCTATTAACACCAACCTAAAGGGTTCCCGTACAACAGAGATAGTGTGTGGTTAATAAAATGCATGAAAGCATCCTGCTAAAACAGTTTCAAGATTCTCCTTTATTGATGAAGTGGGTTCTAGAAAAGTTGCTATTAATTGCCAAAAAAAAATGTTTTGAAATGTACGGTTTTGGGATCAACACAAGAATTTTCTGTTTCTCTGTTGGAAAACCAGAAATGGGAGTATAGAGAGAGCATTTGAAAGCATGTATGCAGTACTTTGCCTCCACAATAACTACATTACATTTTAAAATATTGACAAACATCTGTGGTTTTATATTTTAATTTTATGTGAACAGTTTTAAAACAAATGATTGTAAAAGTCTCTCTGGACTTCTATAGGAAAAGGAAACTAAGTTTGAAGACTAGGAGAGACAACTAAGGAAATGGAGCTACTGATTCCAAAACAGAATGTGACAAAAAGACTTCTTCAGACCATATTCACATACTAAAACTTTGTTTTTATTAAAAGGTTTCTGCAGTGATGTGTTTCACTTTTTCTCAAACTGCTGGTGCCTTGAGTTAAATGTAGTGTCCCAAATACACACACACAAACACACACACATACACAAATTTCAGAGAAAAAGTAAATCGCTTGGTTACAATAAATTTGAATGTAATGAATATTTTCCTTTTGCAATACTTCTTGAAAACAATATTTATAAATATTTAAGATAAGAACATAACAAAGATAAACTTCAAATGCAAAAAGATTAGTCAGAGCTACACAGGACATGTTTAGTCTCAATCCCTTTTACAAGTTTCTGCATTTTTACGTAAATTTTTTAGACACTGATGTAGGAAGGTAAATTGTTGTCTACAGTGACTTTACTTTGACTAGTTGTGCTGATGTTCTCTAAGCAACTGTTAATAATTGTAAGTGAAGGAAAGATATGAAAATGGACACTGTAGGAGACTGATGAATGCACTTGCAGATATTCTAGAACTCTACAAGTAACTTGATAGAAGCAGTTTATCAAAATGATCGGAGAATGATCAAACTTTAGATTTCCTATGACCCGGGATCAACAGATCTTCACTCAGTAGTTTTACAATGACGCTGCAGAATCATTGTGTCTAAAATTTTCCTCACATGATTCCAATGGTCAGTCAAATTGAGGCATCCCTGGCAGCAAAATGGCCAATTTTCTGAACATTCTAATAACTTGACAGCATCGGACTGAATTGGAAATGATTACACTTAGAAAACTGTATGTTCGGGGAGGAGGCCACATCTTTCTAAAAGATAACGATGTCTATTAAACACAAGAACAATTAAAGTATATTTGAGAGGAGAAAGATTTTCCAGATTTTATCAGAAATTGATCTAATAGTTGGCATAATAAGTTTTGTCATTTCTAAAATGCCAAATTTGAAATAGACTACAAACTCAATATACCACTACTTGCCATAGAATGGTGTTCAATTTGGCAATGCTCTCTTGGGAAGGTCTTACTGTTGTCCAAATGATTTCATTCCAAGCCAAAAAATATGGAATGCTCAAATGTGTTGAATCTCTGAGCTAAACAAACATAAGATAGTCGTATTGATAACAGAGAGAGGGAGGGCAAGATGTCAAAAGAATCCACAAAAGCACTAGCAGGAAAATCAGTTACATATATTCAAGTCCAAGGAAGGCAAGTATTAGGACTATACTCAGCACCTGTGCCGACAGAAATTTCCTGGTCCTTTTCTTCTTTGTGTGTGCTCCAACCCAGGAAGTAGTTTTGCAATATGGAAAGGAGGAAGGAATACTAGACAAATACTATGAGAAGCACCGTCTTAAATATGCTCAGAATGCTAAAGGAGAACACTGACAAGGAAAGCAATATATGAATGAAATAATAATATACATCGAAAAATTTAAAAGGAACCAAACAGAAATTCTGGAGCTGAAAAGCTAAAAAACCAACCAACAAACATATACAACACAAACAAGTGAAACTTGGCGATGCTGACCAGATGGTGAATTCTCTCACCCTCCCACGCTTCTGACTGTACACAGTGGTGGTATAAATAAAATAAATAAATCTTAAAAAAAAAACAACAAACCCAATGTGGTACTAGCATGCAAATAAACATACAGACTAACAGTATAGAATTGGGAGTCCAGAAATAATCCATAAATATAGACAGTTGATTGACAAGTGTAGTAAGTCTAACAAACTGGAAAAGTCTCTTCAATAAATGGTTCTTGGGGCCTCCCCGGTGGCGCAGCGGTTGAGCGCTGGGTTGCGAGGCTGCCCGCAGCCTCTGCGGCGCCGGTTCGATCCCCGGCTGCTCCCCGGCCACCGGAGGAGGGTCCCACATGGTGCGCAGACCTCTCCTGCTGCCCGCTGCTCCCCTCAGCGGTGTGCTTCGGTCCTTCTGCCTGCTCTGCTCCCCGCTCTGGCTCTGGTGAGTTCTCTCACCCTCCCGCGCTTCTGACTGTGCCCAGTGCTTGTATAAACAAAACAAACAAACAAGCAGACAAATAAATAAATGGAACATGCCTCTATTAAAAAAAAAAATAAAAAAATAAATGGTTCTTGGAAAACTAGATCTTCACATACACAAGGATGATGCTGGGACCTTAACTAAATACCATAAACAGAACTGAATTAGACATTGATCATTGATCTAAATAAAACAGTTAAAACCATAAAAACTTGTAGAGGGAAACACAGATTCAGTGTGCATGACCTTGGACTTGTCAATGTACACTTAGATATAATACCAAAAATACAAGTACCAAAAAAATTAGATATGTTGGATTTCATAAAAAAATAAAAAAAAAAGTTAATTGTTACAGGCCATTGTCAAGAAAGTGAAGAGACAGTCTATAAAGAGTAAGAAAATATCAGCAAGTCATATAGCTGAGAAGTGGCTTAATAACTGAAATATGCAAAGTGCTAAGGAAAAACTTGAATCTACAACAAAAGGTCAAACAACCCAATTATAAGAAGGGCAAAGGACTTGGATAGACATTTCTCCAAAGAGGATATACAAGAGCCAATAAACAATTGAAAAGACTATCAACATGATCAGATATTTACAGAAATGCGAATCATCACCACAATGAGATACCACTTGACACCAACTAAGACAGGTAAAATCGATAAAAGGGAAAAGAATGAGTGTTGGTTTATAGGGAGACTGTGTAAAAACTGGAGCCCCTATCTACTGCTGGTGGGATCGAAAATGGTGTAGACTCTGGAAAACAGTGTGATGGTTCTTCAAATAGCTGACTATGGAATTCTCATGCAACCCACCAATTCCACCTGTAAATGATTCTCTTAACATGAGCACACCATGTTCCTTGCAGTGTTACGATTGTCATGAGAAGGAAATATTCCAAGTGCCCACAAAAGACCGTGGGTAACCAAATTGTGGAGCACACATACAATGGAGCACAGAGCCATCGAGTGGAATGAAGATGTCACATGTGCACAAGGACAAACCCTGGAAGCATTATGATTAGTGAAATAAGTCAGTCACAAAAAAATGTATGATTCCATTGACATGAAAATCTAAGAAAGGGAAATTCATAGAAAGAATAGAGTCAAGGTTAATCAGGACTGGAGGAGAGAAGGGCAGCAGGAGCCACTGCTCACTGGTCACAGAGTTCCTCCTTTGGGTTATGAAAGATATTTGGAAACAGTCACGACAGTACACAGCCAAGGGGATGTGATTGATGCCAGTGAACTGTACACTTAAAATGGTTAGAATGGCACGTGTTACGTTAAAAATCTTACAACAAATATTTTTAAGTTTAAAAACTAATAAAAGTTTTTTTTTTTTTTTTACCTGTAGCATGATACGATTGCAAATAATATGATCAGAAGGTATGCCGTGTAAAACAAAGGGACCACTGACCTAGCAGTCGCCTCAAATTCCAGTTTCTTAGAGAGTGATGTGAAGTAGACCACCTGTCGTAAAAATACATTCAGGTAAAATAACTTTTAATTCCAATATTTGTGTATGAGTGACAAGATCTATCAAAATATTATAGCTTATTGATTGAAACATGTTACAGTTCAGTAAAAGATTAAAATAGTGTGAATTATGATTTTAGAATAAAGGTAATAAAAAATGTTCCCCACCAATGCATGGCATGCTTTCTAAGATTTCTTTCAAAAATCCAATCTTTAATATTCCTGAGTATACAAATTCTCAATTTTCTCTAATACTGTGTAATCACTGATAACTGTCAAAATTTTGGCTTTTTGTAAATGACGAGTAGGTTGCTGTCTTTTGCTATTTAATAAAAAAGTATAATTTCAGCAAGGCCTGGTATCCAAAGCCTTTTCCCAGCGGGTGTCTCTCACCAGGCCTTGCCAAAAGTGTTAGCAGGTTTGGTCATCATCTAAGGTGCCTGGCAGGATGCTAGAAAATACTTGAGAAATATGAGCTAGCCATGTTTTTCAAAAACACCAGGGACACCAAGCAAGTTTTTGGGGGCTCCAGAAACAGTACAGACGTGAAGTGAGAGCATTCTGGCTAGAAAACCAAAAGGAACCCTGAAGATCAATGTCTGCTCTGAACACACCCAGCCCTGGGGTGTAAAATGAGTGTTTTCCACTTGAATGTGACCCAGTATCTAGGCTGGCGGCTTCCCTTGGTGTCCCTTGAAGAAAGCTGGCTTAAGCATCAAAGAGAGTGGAGCAGACCCGGTTCCACGTCAAGGCCTCCACCAAGTAGCCAGGCGCGGACACATCCCTGGACAGGTCTTATCCCTCCCACCTTCTCCTCCCTCTAAACCCAGCCCAAGGCACCTGGATGTTCTTCAAGATCAGGCGCTTTTCAATGGCATGAATTTGGTCCAGGAACTCCAGCAGCCACTTCTGGCTGCGCGCGCTGTCCTCAGGGTCCGCGGTCTTCAGGTAGTACTGCAGCAGCATGGCCTTGGCTTGCAGGAGTAACCGGCTTATCCCCGAGCCGGGACCTAGGACAGTTCCTCCCAAGAGGCCGGCCAAGTAGACGGGAGAAGTGGAGGTGTTGTAAATAGGGAAGGTGATGCTTTTCAGATCCATGTTGTTATTCTTCTGCCAGATGAACAGGACTGGGTTGGAGGGCATGCAGGTGCTCTGGTACCTGGCACACACCTGAGGGTAGAGGACGTAGGTTCCATTTCCCAGGGGCGCGGTCAGCATCTGCACCGCCTTGTCCAGTTGACTAATTTCTGAGAAGATGACTTGATCCAGCAGATTGGTAGTGTTGGAGACCACCAGGATGGAGGCAAAGTTGACCTCCATGCTGGACCGCAACGGGGAGAAGAGGTGCGACTCGTTGGTGGAGAAATGTGCCTGCACGAAGTGCCGCTCGGCCTTGGCTGGGCTGCCCAAAGGGGTGTAGTGCTCCCCCAGGTTCTCTTCAGTCTCCCTGGGCAGGTACATCAAACCGGTGCCCAGGACAGCCGTCAGCACCAGGGGAGCCAGCAGGAAAAGCCAGGGGTGCGAGCCCACAGCTAGCCCCATCCTCTGGAATCCCCAGGCGAGGGGCTGCTCCAGGCAGTTGGTGTGGTAGCGGGGCCTCCCAGGGGGTGGCTGCTGCCCCTGGGCTTCTGGGACTGGTGAATCCCCGCTCTCAGACAGCTGTCGGGGTGGGTCTGAGGAAGGCCCCGAAGCCTGGCTCTCGTTGGGCTCCTGCCCCTCACTGGCCTCCAGGACCTGCTCTGGCTGCCCCGCGGAGGCGGGGAGCTGCTGGGGCCCAGTTGCCGCCTCAGGATCTGCTCTGCTCTCAGACTCTGGCTCGGGCCAGTCCTCCTGCTCTGGCCTCTGAGCCCCTGAAGCCTCCCCTTGCTCGAACCCTCCTTGGGGTGCAGCCTTGGAGGAATGGACACCCATTTCCGGAAGGACCAACCAGTTGTTCAACAGGAGACCGAGAAAGCAGTGACTGGATGTTGCACCCAGTCCCCTCCCCCGCAGCTTCCGGGAGGAATCCACAGGGAGGCTGTGCCAATGGTCACAGCCCCTCGACCTTTGACCTCCGCTGTGCATGCTGGGATGCGGCGGGGGGCTGCCAGGGGGGTACTTTGCTGGAGAACGGGGTCTTTCCAGCTGGCCTAGTTGGGGAAAGTGGTTTCCAGGCGGGTCTGCGCTCCTGCCCTTAGGATCCCCCACCTGAGGGGCCTGCATTTGCTACACTGTTATCAGTCGTGGGGTTCCCTCCTGTGCCCTGCGGGGGTGTTGATATATCCGCGGAGAGAAGCAGAGGCTGGGACAGAAAGGGAGAAGGAGGCTAGAGAAGCCCAGAGTGAAGACCTATGGGGGCTTTTCATTTTATTTATTTATTTTTTTAGATTTGTTTATTTTTATTCAAGAACTGGGGTACAGGCCAGATGCGCGGGAGGGTGAGAGGTTTCACCAGAGACAGAGCGGGGAGCAGAAGAAGCAGACTGGCTGAAATACACTGCTGAGGGGAGCAGTGGGCAAGACAGGAGACGTCTGCCCCGCCATGTGGGACCCTCGCCGGTGGCCAGGGCCGGGGACAGCTCCACAGTGCGAGGCTCAACCCGCTGCGCCACTGGGGAGGCCCCACTTTTCAATTTAAAAGTGAAGAGAAATCGAATACTAATAAAATGCTAGTCATGAAAGTTGAGGTAGTTAGATTACAATCACGAAAAGTGGATATTCAGAAGAATAAAAAAAAATTGCAGATAAACAGGTGACCACATAGTGACAAAGAGTTTGATTTATGGGACAATCCTGAAATGTGAGGAGATTGTAGTCTCAAAACATGTTTTCAAAATTCCAGAGCAGAAGAAAATAATGAAAATTACAATGGACGTGCATAAATTAGAGACTTGATAAAAAGAGACATCAGTGTAATCCAAATGACTAAAATCAAAAATGAAAGATTACCATGGATCATTCTGAAATTTAAAACAATTATAAGAAATTACTCTGAAAAATGACATGCCAACAAATTGTGCACAGTGGATGAAACAGACAAATTCCTTGGAATAGAAACGGTACCAAGGCCAAATGGACAGACCTCTCTCTAGGAAGAGAATGACTCAAAGAAAAGCCTCTTTGATCATGCCTTTAACTGGGCTTTGGAAAGGCGGGTGATGTACAGTTCCTTTTATAAGGAAATTTGCCTGGCATTTTCCCATGGTTGCAATCACTTTGCATTAATAGCAATTATGTTTTTAATGTAAGTAGAAAAAGTATTTTTCATAAAATCTCCAGATTATAAGACTACTCTGTCTAAGAGTTTATGGGAATATCTTTCACAATCTCTTAAAGGATAAATAGATTTTGAATATTGGTTTTATATAAGGTCATGGTTGAAAGGAGACCACAAGATGGCACCTGTTTTCTATTTTAAAAGTTACTGTATTCTTCCAATCCATGAGCAGGGGATGTCTTTCCATTTCTTTGTGTCTTCTTCTATTTATTTTAACAGTGTTTTATAGTTTTATTTGTATAGGTACTTTACCTCTTCTGTTAGATTTATTCCCAAATATTTGATTTTTTTTTGTTTCAATAATAAAAGGGATGGTTTTTTTGATTTCTTCTTCAGATTTATTGTTTGTGTATAGGAAGGCTACTGACTTTTGCGTGTTGATTTTGTATCCTGCCACTTTGCTGAACTGAAGAGGAAATGCAAATGGCCAACAGGCATATGAAAAAATGTTCAGCATCACTTGTAATCAGGGAAATGCAAATCAAAACTACCATGAGATACCATCTTACACCAGTGAGAATGGCACATATTAAAAAAACTAGCAACAACAAATGTTGGTGAGGTTGTGGAGAAAAAGGAACTATTCTGCACTGTTGGTGGGAGTGCAAACTGGTCCAACCACTATGGAGAGCTGTGTGGAGATTTCTGGACCTACTAAACATAGAGCTTCCATATGATCCAGCAATTCCACTCCTAGGTATTTACCCAAAGGCCACAGAAACATCAATTCCAAAGAACACCTGCACCCCTATGTTTATAGCAGCACTATTTACAATAGCTAAGCTTTGGAAACAGCCCAAATGCCCAAAAACAGATGACTGGATCAAGAAGATGTGGTACATATACACCATGGAATATTACTCAGCATTCAAAAAAGATAAACACATGCAATTTGCAGCAACATGGATGGCGCTGGAAGGGATCATGCTCAGTGAAATAAGCCAAAAAGAAAAAGAAAAATACCGGATGGTCTCACTCATAGCAGGAATCTAGAAAACTTAAATAAGGGACCAGGAAAATGAATAACTATAAGAAAGTGAAAATCAAAATCAACAAAAATCTATGAACCAGAGACACTTTTTGGGGGGTGGGGGGCGGGAGGGGAGGGATTGGGGTCAGAATGGGGGGTTGCAATTGTATGGGGAATATAAAAATAAAATTTATTATTTTAAAAAAAAATTTTAAAAACATTCAAAAAAATAAAAAATAAATAAAAGTTACTGTAAATTAAAAAAAAAAGTTACAGTAAATTAGCAGGAGGGCTCCTTTTCTTTTTCTTCTGTGTTTCAACCCCTAATTATAGCCACCTCTTGAATTTATTATTCACATGCTTTAAACCTACTGGCATCTGTATCACATTTAGCCTGTAGATGGAATTACTGATTTGGGAATGCCATGTGTTATACCACATGCATATTATGGAGGGAATGGCTTGGTTTCCTAAAATTTGAATAGGAAATGTCAAAGGGTGCTTACAAGTACTCTACCATGAAGCAAATCCAGGCACAGTGCCTCTCACTGCCCATCTCTGTGATATTTCTTTAGCATCACGTCAGCATATTTTTCCCCTCAGAAAACAACTACTGAATGTCCACAAGAGTTCACAAATCAGTCACTGTAAGTACTAACTTTTATAGAAAAGCAAGTATATGCTTCTGGATCCTATATTATCCTGTCTTCGCCTTCTAGATTATTTTATTAATCTACTTATCTAGATTACTAACATTTGTTTGAGTCTAGAATGTCAGTCAAAAAAGACTGTCTTTATTTAATTTTTCTCCTGCCAATTTTGTTTTATACTATAAGAAGTATAGTGGCAGGTAGGGCCACTGAGCAGAATGTCTATGATACAGCAGATGGGAAAAGGAGAGGCTTGGAGCCCTCCGTGGCTTTCTCAGGCTTTTATTGAGCTTTACATGTAGTATGGCAAACAGGTACACAGCAGGCAGCGTGCTGGGAATCATGAGTCCCGCAAGACTCCAAGCCCCCAGCAAGTCTTCACTTTGGGCTTCTCTGCCTTCTTTCTCCAGGTCTTTCTCTCCTGCCTCTTCTGCTGCTGCTTCTCTTGGTGGCTATCCCAATACTCCTCCCATGGCCCACAGAATTAAAGGAGACAGCTTGCAACAATGTAACAACGGCAGAGCCCCATCAGGCAGGGCTATCCCAATAGTGGGAGGGCAGAAAAGCCTGAAAAACCATTTACCTGCAGAGGAATTTGGCTTTCTTACAATTCCTAAGAAATAAGATCAGGCCAATTGTTCTATGGGTTTACCTGCTATGTTTGATTTGTGAAACTCTTTCGTATTGGCTGCAGAGCTGGAGATCACACCAAATATTAACTGAGACACGATGGCATGCAAATGACATGGCATTGGAGTTGGTTTGTTTCTTAGGTTTCTTCCTTTCAACTGACACAACGCCCTGACCTTTCATCTGAGTATGGGAATACACTTTTCCAGGGGAGGATCCTCCATAATTTAGAAAATACCATCTGTGTGATAACAGGAAAGGAATTGGGATATTAAAGAACATAGTTTAGAACTTAACATTTTATATAGTCTGCTTCTTAGGCATAAGCAGTCTAGATCAAGTCAAGCAGACAAAGCATAACCGAGTGCTCAGTCACCTGCTATCCTTATCTTTATCAGTAGGTAGTTTCATTCTCCTTCTGTTCCCCAGTTGTCCTCAACTGGGGACACTGTACATGTGCACTGCATATTCTCTGTCCCCATCTCCTTCTTTTTAGTCCCACTCTAACAGGTTAGCTAGAGCTAGTGTGGTGGGGGGAAAAAAGGGATATTGCCCACTGCTATTTATAACATGGCTTTCTAAATTTGTGTGTTAGTAAGTAATGTGATTATTTGTTTCCTACATTTGACCATAAGCTCTTCGGAGACAAGAACTGTGGCTTATTCATTCCTGCATTTGTTACCCATTGGAGACCCAATGTTATTCAAAAGTGGGTGACAATACAGCAGTGGCAGCAAAGAAAGGACCTTCCAAATGACTAATATGTAGCTGCTTATTCTCACTACTCAGATGGCCCTCCTGCTTTATGTACTGCAGTTTTATTTAATTAATATGTGGTAGACACATTAACTGAAATGGATTCTGTAGTAAGTAGATCCTCTAGGATTTTTTTTAGATGCCTTTATGCTCAATGAGATAGGAGGTATCTTCTTGTATCTTCTTATGAGCACTTTTTCCTTTCTTCTTTCTTCCTTGTTAGGAATTTAAGCAGTAGAGTTGTTCCAATTTGTGTAATAAGCTGCCCCTAGGCATTATGAACTCCTCATAGTTTTCTTTTTCTGGGTTAAAATCATAGGAGTTGCACCAGACATTGAGAAGGGGCTCTAAAGCTGAAACACGAATAATTCAGAAGGAAACTGAAGTCAGGATTAATAGTGCCAACAGCAAGAACTGATCATGAATATAATATGTGGGGAAACATTGATAAGCTGTGTATCAATATCATGGTAGTGTGGTCAACTCTTAACATTAAAGGCCTCCATTGAATCTTGACTCAGTAATTGTGATATTCCGTGGTCCCTTTCCTTAATGACTCTGGGTTTGGCTAACTTGGTCAAATGAGACATTAGTAAGACTGACACATCAGAGGACTGACAAGTTTTTGTGCATTTGGAACTTGTTGGCT